TTTTTTTTTCCTCATTCTTATTTGTTCCGTACTCACTCTAGACGTGGCAAATAGTTCATATCATGATAAGAAGAAATATAAATTAATAAATAATCATCTATTTTATTTGAAGTATTTTTAAAAAAAATCTACATTAAAAAACATAAATTATTTAAATTGCTTGATGTTTGAATATATTTTCAATCGCTTGAATAATATGTTTAGTTCGAATATCAATCGTAAATGAAAGAGGATCGAGTTGATTGCAAATATATGCATAAGTCAATTGTTGTGAAGGATAAGCAAAAGCACAACTACCACCATAACCTATTTATAACAATAAATACATTTATCGTACATATGTTTATATAATTAAAAATAACAGATATTTTCTAGGTTAATATTTACTTACCAGTATGACCAAATGCACCATCACCAAATACAGGAAAACTATCACCATAGATTTGAAAACCTCCTTTACTAAATGTTGTTGGTATTTGATACAATGTTTGATCTAATTCATTTTGAGGTGTAATATTTTTTATTGCTTCTGATAAAGTCTTTTGACTTAAAAGACATTTTAATATCTTTTCATTTTCATAGACATCACCAATAAGTAAACTGTATATTCGAGCTAATGTTCGAGCATTTGCAATTCCATTTACAGCTGGTAGTATGGCACGATGTATTTCAGGTTTATTATAGATCATTTCAGATTGACCTAAAGGTAGAGCACCACTACATGATAAAGTTTGATCAGCTATTAGATCTGGCATTTCTTCTTCAATCTATATTAATTACAATGATTATAATATTTAAATTTTAATATTTCTATACCTGTTTTTCAAAAAGAGGAGCAACATATTTATCAATGTCATTATCAGGTATACCAACATAATATTCTTGATCTAATTCATCACGAACAAATTGACTATATGAACGATGTTGAGGATCAACACGATGAATTAATTCACCAGCAATATATCCAATTGTATGACCATGATATCCATGTGTTGATCCAGGTTTCCAATGAGGTTTTTCATTAATTAATAAAGAGATCATTTTAGTCCAATTACAAACATCGTCAACTGAAAGTGATTGACTAACATACGGTAAACCTGCTCGATGTGCTAACAAATCACTTATTATAATATCCTTCAAGACAAAAAAAATAAAATAAAGCATGAAAAAAATTATTTTCTTCAATAAAATTTTACCTCTTTTCCATGAGTACCAAATTCTGGCCAATATTTTCTAATAGGTTCATCATAATTAAGCCAACCCCTATCAACACATAAAGCTATAGCTGCACTTAATATTCCTTTTGACGTTGAAAAAATAATTTGTAATGTATCTGATGTATAAGGTTGCTTTTTTCTTTCGAGATCTTTCCAACCACCATAGAGATCTACAACACATTTTCCTCGATGATAAATACTTAAACTTGCGCCAATATCTAATCCATCAATAAAATTTTGTTCAAATGCATCTCGTATACTAGTCCAGTTTTCAGCTACATATCCATAGATATTATTATTTGATAATGTCGACATTAACCAACTCGTTGTTATTATCACACGTTTTTCTGTTGTTCTGTTCTTTCATTATATTATAGTAATATGTTGGATGGGTTTTTTTTTGTTCTTTCTTTATCGTTAAAATATCAACACCGACAATGACTAATAGAACTAAATAATTTATCTGTTACTTATCAACATCACACTGATATATTCTAGAATGTAAAAGGAAAATTAATAATTTATATTTTTCAACATAAAATACGCAAAAAGTTAATCTTATGTTTGTAGTTTATATGTACTGAATCAATTACGTAAAGGCTTTGTCTGAGCAATGATATATATATTCAGTTATCAGTTATATAAACGATAAAGAAAACGAACGCATTTAGAAAATTGACTCACATTCTAATTATTTAAATAAATGAGTTACTGTTATATATCTTTGTATTTTACTTAATTAGTTGTAAAAATAAATTTGTTTTAGATTGAAATCATGTATAATAGAGACTATTCAATCTGAATTATACTAATTGATATTTTCGAGCTTTATTATTATATCTGTTTTAGAATATTTTGATTATAAGATGTGTACATCGAGCATACTGAAACTTAAGATGAGCGTGCTGTTTAAGCTTCTTATCTACTTAGATCAAACAGTAATTGATTAATATTAAGAGAAATTTAGTTTTCTATTTAAAGATGCAAACAAAACAAAAAAACTTTTTCAAAATTAAATAGTATGATATGATATCTATTTTTATGTGAACATAAGATTATGAAAATATATTAAATCGATCATTCAAAATTGAATTTAACTGAACATGTGATTAGTGATTTGTCATAAATATTAACTAAATAATTATCATTCCATTCTAATATTATAATACAAAAAAAAAATATATGATCTTACAATGTGTCATTGAAAGGATTGACATAAGTATTCTTTAGTTATATAAATACACTCTACTATAAGAATTCTTTTCTCTCAATTGAATAAACTAATTTTGTTAAGCCCTAAAGCTAATAAAATATCCTGTATGATGTATTAGTCTTCTGCTATTTCATTCTTTTTCTTTTCTCGACTGATTTTTCTATATACAATCCTTTGTTAAAGACAGCATTGATCTTCATGTTGATATAACGTCCTTCAGTTAATTTCATTATATAAGGAACTAGTAACGCTATTCTTCTTCCTCTTCATCATCATGACAAATCGCATCAATCAAGAATATTTAACGTTCAAAGTATATTCGGGTTTTTAAATCATTGTATAATTAACAAGATATAACATAGATTATAAAAAATATAAGTTATTTCATATTTCCAAATATATATATTACTTAAATATTTTAATCATTGATATAAAATATACATCTAGATGTATATGCGTTATAAGAAGTAAAAGAATCGTAGTTGGAATGATGTTAGAAGCAACTTTGAAACTATATAATTATCAGTAATTGATGTCTTATGAATTACATAAAACCTCTAATAAACAAATCAAAATTATCTAAATGATATGTGACATTTATACATTAAATTACTAGTCTATACAAGCAAGAAAAAAACATTATGGTACTGATATTACAATTAAATAAAGAAAAAAGAAAATAAATTTTCATTTGAACATCTCATACTACAAGAAGTGGCATATAAATCAATAGTATCTAAACCAAATTGAAATATTCAAAACGAATATTAATAATAAGAAATATCAGATAGAATATTCTACTCAAATGTTTGATAAATAGTATCTCGTTATTTTCACCCGAAAAACATCATTGAAAGATGACGAATCGTAGTTTTAAACAATCAAAATAAATCTAATCGATGGGATACGAGTATTTATCAATGCAAACACGTATATAGTATATTCAAATAGCAAACAACTTCATTCAAAATATTAGAAGATTTTAGATGAATCAATACTAAGTTCATAATCCGCAGATCAGATCTTATCCAAAACTGTCAAATTCCTTTGTTGTCTTCGTTGTTACATAATATGAATCGTAATATTTGATTACTTCCAAAATTTAGTCTTTTTCTAAGTTAATCATATTTCAATAATTCTCTGTTGTTATCTTTTATCAATATTCAAATATTTATTATATAACAAAAAAAATATATTTATTAATCGTACGAGACTGATTGTTGTTTGTGTATTCTTGTTCTATGATCAATAAGTGTTCGAGATTGACAAAAACCTTTACCACAATCCAGACATTGATATGGTTTTTCTATATTCAAAAAAATAAACTTCTTTCTATTTTCGTATAAATCAAATTGAAATTTACCTTTTGAATGAGTATATCTAGTAAAACAAAAAAGATATTTCTATTAATAAGAAAAAATAATTTTAGTTAAAAAATCAAACTTACTTATGATCTCTTAAATGATCTTGTCGTCGAAATGCTTTATCACAAATATCACATATATATGGTCTTTCATTAGTATGTGTTCGTATATGAATTAATAAATTATATGATTTTGTAAAATGACGATTACAATACTGACAAATATATTCTTTCGATCGTTTTTTACTAAACAAATTTTTTCATAAAAATTCAAAAACAAAAACAAATTAATTACCGTTTACTACTATCAATACCATTATTTGATACACATACTTGTCGTGATTGTTTATTTATAGTATTATAATTAGTTGCCAGTACAGAATGAAGTGGTAATTCATTACTGTTATTACTAAAAATAAAATGTATTATACTAAATCGAATGGTTTCTTTCAAAACGTTATGATTAGAAATAATATAAAATACTTACGATTGAGCAAGTAATGAAATACCACTAGTAATTGCAGCTGGTACTAATTGAGATGATGATGTTAATAAATTATTAATATTATATGATAATGGAGAATAAGATGTATCTTCTTTATCTTTAATAACTTCATCAGCTAATTTAGCAAAATTAAAACGTTGTTGTGATATCATAGATTTTCGTTTTCCAAATGAAAATGGTTCAAGATTATTTGATCGAAACATTTCATGATCAAATATATGATTAGTTTCAAAATTGAATAAATGATAAAAAGATTGAGTGGAAATATCCGATAAATTATATTGCAGTAAATCTGTTGATGGATAAATATTTATTGAAGTATTGATTTCTGTATTATTCAATGAAATAGTGGGTGTTGTTGATAGAGAATCTAATCGTAAACACATTGTAGTTAAATCTATTTAACAAAATATAGATAACATGCCTGGACCTAAATAAATTAAGTACAATAACTTTACGAACAGGCAAAGAGTAAATCGATAATACTAATGTTTAGTTTATACATCTATATGAAAATTTAGATTTTTTTTCTTATAAAATATATCGATCAAGCTTGCTTCTCATTCGTTATTTAGAAAAAAAGATTGTTTGATAACACAACAACAACCAATAAGAATACATTTGGGGTGTAAAAATAAAATATTGATCAATCTTGAAAAGATTTCTTTCCGAAAATTCATCTCAGCATGATAATTAGTATTTCTTTCTTGATCAAACGATCGGTATGTGTGCGTGTGTTTCGATCCATGACAAAATGACGATGAGGATTCACACATATGCATGTTCCTTTTTTTTCTTAATGTTATATATTTGTCTTATTAATCTCTCTCATGCATATGCCGGCAACAAGTGAATCGAATCAATCATACACGCGTATATATCATTTCAGTAAATGATAAGCATATTTCATCGATGTAATACTTGTATTTTCATCTTTTGAAATTTATAAAGTTAATTCTATTTCATTTCATCATAAAACACTTCCAAATTCTCCTCTTCTTTTTTTTTTTGTTTATTATGACAGCTTACTTGATGAGGTAATCTTTGTGACTAGATGTTGATCACTTGAATTAAATAAGAGTGATAAAACTTCACACCGATTTACAACAATTCTTTTTCATCTTTGGAAAAAAAATTCTCTTACTCTTCTTCTTATCGACTAATCTAATCATATTTATAGCTTTTAATGACTAATCAACTTTATTGATACAAAATACAATATTGATTTATGTTTAACACATTTTACGTATGGAATTTTGTTTTTTAAGTGAGAATGAGTAAATAAATAAAAAGTGCGAAACATGCAAATTATTTTTTACTTCATTTATTGATAATTTAAAAGTAAAAAAATTATCAATAGAGAAATATTTTTATTATCATCAATGGAGAGAGATATATTCATTGCCTTCTGAACCAAATAGAAAATAACATTAGTGATGAGAGAATATTGAGAGCAAAAGAGATGACAAAGAATTGAGTATCATATACGAATTATTTTTCATACTTTAAGCTTATATATACGCGAAAAGTGTTGATTAGAGGAATAATAATGATGATAAACAAATACAATTCATCACCAGTTGATAATAGCAAAAGCATATAGACTGATTGGTTGGTTTATGCAATGTGATAATATTGAAAAGTCAAATCAGAGTAAGCCTAAATATGATAATAATCATCACAGTTCTCCATTTATAATTTTATTTGATATCATAGAATATTCTGTGTTGAAAGAAAACTTGTACAATTTAGTTGATTAGAGATTAGAATGAATCAATATCTCGCGTGAAGATATTTTTTCCTCAAATTATATGATGGCAACTAGTATTTGTTTACTGATACAGTCGTTCCTCTTACGATAGATTTGTTATAGACTAACATCGAAAGAAAAGTCAAATATTTGACATTATTTTCATACATATACTTCTGCTAAGCCACTTATTCTTTGCACTTATACTTTTTCAAAAAAGTTACATTACCCTTATTTATATAAATGTTATTACCGATATTGACTGCTACTATTCACATGATGAATATTATTAGTTTCTACTTGATTACAGTGTATTGAATATACTTCAAATTTATGACGAATATCAGCTCAGTGTCAACAAGGCCAGTCAAGTATTCGTTGAGTTATTTGATCTTATCTAGTTTTCAATATGATCGATCGAGTTTTAGTTAAAGTTACTATAGTATGCTTTGTTTACAATGGTCCATGTTAAATTTAAATTTAAAAAATATTTCTCGGGCATATTGATTCTTTATGAAGATTAGTATTGAATTCATTATAGAGCAAATATTTTCCATAGACTTGGATGACGACAAGATCCACCATCAAACTTTATTTTAGTAATTTACATAAAATTTCTCGTATAGAAAGATTCTACGATATCTTTCCATATCGTATTTTCTTTCAACGAACCATGAATATGACAAACTATTATCAACACATATCGCGAAATAAACTTAATTATAATTCATTTTGCACTAATTACCTTTCAGAAGGAAAATATTGGATCTTATTTGTAATGAAAAGAATGTATCGTTCATCAAAAAGCAGTGTATAATTTTTAAATTGTAGTACTTTATTTGATGTAAATGTTCAATTAAATATAAAAATTTATTGAAAAAATATTAAATTATTTAAATGGCAGCAAAGTTTATTCAGTATAACCAGTAATTCTCATATAACCCTAGAGAGAGGGATAATCACAATAGTAAAACGGAATTTAAGTGCTTTATGATTCAAACAAGTAGATAGTAATCGATGATATTATCCGACTATAGTATTATAGAAAGCTGAAAGAGGAACGAGTACATTGCGTTCTATAAAGTGAAATATTATTAATCGTTGCTTTATAGTGACATCTTTCGCAAATAAAATTGAATTTTATATTTATTAACAAAATTACAAGTTCTTTTGAACAAAAAGTATCTTCTAATTAGTATAATCAATCAATATTGTATGTTAGATGAGAATAATATGAATTTCTTACTTGAAATTACTTCACAATAATTTCAACCAATTGTGCAAGCGCAAATTGGAATGATTAAAGTCTAGGACGAATAGTCGACTTTTTTTTCTACCTACTTTTTCATTTATTTGTTCTTGATCTTTCGTATCACGTGCATTATATTGATTACATTTTAATTTGAATATCTATCTTCTTCTTTTTTTTTGTTTTCAAATAGATATTTTCAAAATTAATTGATATTTATAATACTATCGAGCAATCAGACAAAACATTGTCTCCATCGGATTTAACTGTTTTTTTTCTCTTTCGAAAACAATGAATCTTGATGCAGTATCTTTAGCATTAAATCAAATTTCTTTTACTATCAAAAACTTATCGAAAACCAATTACAAAAGTTCTCTCGCTGAAATATCAAATGTAAAAATTAAAATCATAATTTTTTTTATCTTCTTCAATTTCATTCTGTATTATTCTAGTTGATATCTGAATATGGATTCGAAGCTGAACGTCATTTATATCGAACTTTAATATCTTATATTGATTTACAATCAATTGAAGAAAATAGTTCTTTATTAAAACATTCAGAAAATATTCATTTATATTATTGGCTACAGGAAATACCAACATTAATATCTAAACCAAATTTTGTAACATTAATTTGTTATGCATTTGATACAATAATAACACAAAAAGTATAAATGAAAATTATATATAACTGAAATATTTATTCTTATTCTTATAGTCTTTAAAAGTTTCTTCATCGAATGAATATTTTACATCATTATGTAAATTATTTAAATTAAATCATGCTCAAGAACTTGTCTTTGCTCTTGCCTTACAAAATTCAACTCATACAGAACTTCAAACATCAGCTCATAATCATATTCAAAAACGTTTACCAGAATTTCTTCAAATTATAATTGAATCAGGTATAAAGATGATTATTTATGTTAAACAATAGCTATCTTTTCTTTTAAGATAATGGTTTGAAAGAAACACGTTTAGCTGATTTATCTATCGAAGTACTTCATGCATTTTTAATACAAATTCAACATTATGTATCTAATAATTCATCTATTATTAAAACTGAACAATATGAACAATTACTTAGTTTATTAAGAAAAGGTTGGGAAAAAGAATCTATTTTTTTGTTAAATATAATTTACATTTGATTATTTGTTTTGTAGAATATCCAAGTGAAAGAATAAATAATAATGGTTCATTAATTCTTCTTCCTTTGCTTTATCCATCGAATTCATCATCTAAAGATTTATCATCTACACAACTTTTTTCAGATTCTAGTAATCTTTCAACATCAGTGGTATGATTAAAAATAAATAAATAAATAATATTTTAAACGTTTTATTTTTAAAGTGGCAAATGGATGGATCATTATCTGATGTTATTCTTGAAATGGGCTATGATTTTACAGCATCAGTTGAAGATTGTCGAAATGCGTTAGTTCATTTTGGCTTACAAGAATTAAAACCGATAACTATTGCACGAATGCTTTCTGCTATGATTAAAACTCATTCAGGTCTTAATGAAAATACACGAATTTATGTAATTTATTAAATATTTTCATTTTTGATTTTATATATGAATGATTTGTTTTTTTCTTAAATATAGGATTCAAATGGTATTGAAATGATAACAAATAATGACAAAGTTTCATCACCAACATGGAATGTTGATACATTTGTAATTGCAATTAATGATTTGGTATGAAATAAATAAAAATTTCTATTTTTGTGGAACTCACATATATTCTATGAAGGAAACTGATGAGTGTAAGTTACAAGTTGAGATTTTGCAGCTCTGCTCTTCCATTACAGATCTTAGCAATCGGTGTCAAAAATCGTAGAGTACACATCAAGGTATCCGCTCATTCTAATGGGTTGAAATAACTAGAAATAGCTTGGAATATGAAGAAAGGACAGCAAACGGGTGGATGACAGCTTAACATATCACCCACCCTTCAGAAGTGATTGCATTACAAATCCTCTATAGCACTTGTGAAGGAGTTCCAATACCAACAAATATGTTTTCTTTCAGAAATAAGGGAACTTAAAGGACATCAGATGTTTCTGCTAAGAATATACGTGAGTTCCACAATTTTAGATTCAATAGAGTTGTATTGACAAGCTTTTCTATTTTCAAATAAATAATTTATTATAGGTACCAACAGTTAATTGGAAAGATGTTGTTAAAGAACTTGATCATCCAGGATTTTTAGTACGTGACCGTCCAGCACTTATTTTACTTATAACAGCACTTCGTCGAGCATTACCAACTGAACAATATATTGATTTACTTTATGGACGATGGAATAATGTTGAAGGACAAGTTAGAAAATAATAATAATTTAGTTTAAAATACTAAACTATTTATTTTAGTTATCATGGCTTGCTCAAGCTATTCGTTATCCAGATGTATTTTGTTTTGGTGATCATCCAGCACATCCGGTATTAATTGATTGTTTAAAACATCCATTAGATGATTCAAAAGACACTTGGACATGGTAAGAACAATAATAAAAAATTTATCTTTTATTTATATTCTGTAAAAATTGTATTTATATTTATTTAGGCGTTCATTAAATTTAATTGAATGTCTGTTACGTATTGCTGATACAGGCCTATATCCAGTTGTATTAGATATATTTAAACATGGAATTCAACGTTCTGGTGAATTGATTTTTCTTGGATTATTACAACTTCATGTAAGATTTACAAAAAAATGATATACATTTATATATAATCGTATGAGAAAGTCAGAATTTTCGGTTGAAATTATGATGAAATTCGAATGCTTAAGAAAAGGTTTATAAGTCAAACTATTACTGCCTCATTTTTATAAATAGCACGCTTTTTCAATTCTTTGCTTTAGAAATTCGGAAAATTAAGAAAATTTTTGGTTAAAAATAGTACGACACACCAGTTGATATTAATTTATTTGAATCTATAAGATGAATTTTTAAAACTCCGTACTGTTACAGATCTAGCAAGAATTAAGATAAGCTAAATTCAATATCTAGTTTACATGTGAAATATTACTGAAGTAGTGTACGACTTTGTAATATAAGGTTTTTAGAGTTGAATTAATTCTATTGTGTATTGAGTAGAAACTAAGATTTAATAAACATTCTTATTCGATACTTTAATACTGAAGATCTTTGTATTAGAAAGTGGAAATTAAATGAAGTTTTACTTTATTATATAAACTTTTTCATATGCATATATATTTCTTAAAAATTTAGACTATCTGGACAACATTAAAACAAGAATTATTACAATTAATCATTCCAACATTTTTAGCTAGTAGTCCAAATGCAAATCCACTTCTTAATTATATGTGGAATTCTCAAGTAAAATAAATATAAATAAATTTTTCAATATACTTTTTATGTTTTTTTTCGAATAGCATCATACAGCACCATTACGTACAACTTTATTAACATCATTAGCTGAATGGTACAATCGATCAAATGATAATGAACAACAACAACGTCTTGGACGTGTTCTAGAAATTGTACAAGATTTAAAAGCATTACCTATATTACTTGCTGCACAACCAATAACATTTATACTTGATTTAGCTTGTTTAGCATCAAAACGTGGTTATTTAAAATTAGATAAATGGTTATCAGATAAATTACGTGAACATCAGGTAAAAAAGAAACTAAGCAAAACGAATTCTAACTTTCTATAATTAATTTGTAGGAATTATTTATTCAAACAACTATACAATATTTACGTAAAAAAGCTCCACAATTGTCTTCAAAAGATGATATGAATTATAAACCGATAGCTAATATTGAAATAATTAATATTCTGTTAACAGTTCTTCAATTAGCATTAACATCAATAACAAATTCAGATTTAATTCAAGAAATTCAAACAATGATATCAACAGCAAAAATTCTTAATAATGTCAATGTAACTAGACCTGAAACATTACATAATGCTTTACCACATCCTTTTACACCATCATCAACCAATGGATCTTCATTACCAACTCAACTTCGTCCATTACAAAGTAATTTATTTTTCTCAATTGTCGCTTTTTTTTACATCGCATGAATAACATCCATAATAGAGGATGTATACGTCGATAGAAGTAGCTAACCGAAGAACGAGAATAAAACAACGCGGCCGAAAGAAAGAAAGAGAAAAGGAAAAAAATAGAGATTCGTCGAGACATCTACCATTATAAAATAGTATTTTTTTTTTTTTGACAAAACCATGCGATAGTCTTATTCGATCATCTTTATCGAGGGGCTATAGTTCTATCTATCTATATATATCTATATATATATTCGCCTATGACATAATAAAAAAAGAAAATTTCAGTCCGGACATTTAATAGACAACAATAATGGATCAAAGTAAGAGAATTGAAAATTCTTCTTTTTTTCCTTTCTTTCGTTATTTATTTTATCTTTTCTTTCTAAGGTTCAAATACTAATGATCTTTCACCAATGAATGAAATATCAGATGTTGATGTTTATTTTAAACGTTTATATTCTAAAACAACAAATCCACCACCAATATCTGTTGATGATTTTCTTGATATTTTAACAAAATGTAAAGATTCATTGATAACACGAGAAAGAGTAAGAATTAATAATTTTATTTAAAAATTATAAATTTTTTATTTATATTTATAAAAGGATGTTTTTCAAAATGGAATTAAAAATTTATTTGAAGAATATAAATTTTATTCTCAATATCCAGAAAGAGAATTACTTTTAACAGCACAATTATTTGGTGGACTTTTTGAACGTGGTTTATTTCAAAATCAAGTTTTATTTGCAGCATTTCGAGTCATTTGTGAAAGTTTAAAAAAACCAAATGGTTCAAATCTTTGGAATTTTGCTGTTGCAGCACTTGATCGATGTAAAACAAGGTAAATTTTAAATTAAATTAAATTTTAGCACCATCTTTTGACTTCAATTATCTCGTAGCAAGTAGTTTAAGTCTTGATGCTGCCTATTGATAGTCCTGTTAGTCATAAGAAAGAACTAAAGTTTGTTAGGAATGTAATGATAATTGATTATATTTGTTAAAATTAACGCTAGATTTATTATCCTCTGATAAAACTAGTAATGATATGTCTGAGAGTAGATTTTATCGTTATCTTCCATCAATCCACATCTGTTTGGTTAATTATATGCCTGTCATTTGTAAATTTTCATCATTATATCAACTAATTCTCTGCAATCGTTATTTGAAGCACTGATATATTAATTCTACTGAAAATAAATCCTTTCTTTCTTGTTATAGAAGAACACAACTATTAATTCCAAGTCTAAATTATTTATTCTAGTTTCTTTTCTGAAAGTATCTTTCTCTAATGAAAGAATATACTTCATTACTCAAGCTGTTTAGATGATATCTTATAGCTATAAATAATTCTGGATCAGATTTAGATAATCTTAAAAGGATTCGTATTCATACGCTTTCGTTCTTTACTCAGAAACAAACATGTGAAAATATGAATCCTTAGTAGATTGTATTTTTTTGTATCTATTAGAAGTCTACTTGTAATCAAAAGATACTGAAATATATTCTTGGATGAATGGGGAAGCTCTGTAAATTGATCAAAGTTCTATTAAAATATGCCATCAGCATAGATACTTCGAAGTTTTCTTAATCTCAGTAAGATGCACTTAGAGATGAGTGTTCAGAATCAAAATAATTCCTTCTTTAGTTTTTTTTTGAGTACGTGACAAAAATATTCTACATAAGCTATAATACAATAAATGTACTGATGTAATAATCATCTTATTGTTTTGAATTTCAAAGAATCTGATTTAGATTTATTAAAAAGTATGTTTGAGTCATATGGTATACTGAAAAAATAATCTTGATTCAGGATAAACACATGCTGACAAAATATTTTATAAGAAAAATTATTTTTATTCAGCGAATAGGTCTTTATTTTTCTCTCTTGAAGCTAAATTGCTCATCTCAAAAGAAATATTTCGAAATATACATGAGTCTATTTAAAAAGAATTCTTTTAACGCATCATTACAATTGTAATATTTTTATGTAAATAAAATATGTATGCCAGAAAGTTTGTCGTTTGTTTATTTTGTAACAACATGTTTCTATGAGTCATATAAATCAGTAAAACAATCGTAATCGTAATAGCAAAGTAGCGTATACGATCTGCATGAATGACAACAATAATTTCAAACTTCTCTTTAGTATAGGAAATATTTCCCAAAGATGATCTGTATCTGTTAGTGTTTTCGCCTACACTCCACCCTCACTGGCGAGATATTATTACAGTGATATAGATAAGATAACATGAGTCATTCAAAATATCTGCACTACATACAAGAAATAATTTATCTTATGTTTTTAATATACGGAAATGTACTTGTCGAAAGACCATTGATGCAGACATTATAATCTTTACATTATATTTCGAATAGAATTTAGTCATTTGAATGGCTTTATCTAGTAATATTATCAAGTGATAAGTACTAAAGTTGGTTGGGATAGATAGGATAATGCAATGACATTTTAGGTCACTTGGCCCTTTTTCATCTATTAGTTTATTCTTGGTGGTTTTTCTACGGCTGAAGAAGATAATTCATATAGATTTACCTTTTGATATTCTTTATTTAGAATTCGTGAACAATCGGCTTTACTTCAAGCATTACGAGGTTTACCAACATATTCCGAAATTCCACCTACAATTCGTGATTATCTTGAATTTAATACTAAACAATCAATTTCACAAACATTTGATCCATTACGAACAATAACACCAACATCAAATTTACCATCGCAACCAGTTGCAACAAGTCCACATTCTCATATTTTTTCACGAATGAATAGTACATCAACAATTACAACTGCTCCACAACAATTTAATCCTATTGGAAAAGATAATCCAGCACAAAAAGGCGTATGTTCTTAAATTTATAATTATGAAACTATTTTTATTTCTTCCTATATTCATTTAGCCATCATTAACACAAAATGCAAATATTCGAACATTAATTAATGATCCAAGTTATAATCTTGTTCGTGTAAAACAACCACCAGAACAAATCAATGATAAAATTGCATTTACATTTAATAATTTATCACATGCTAATCTTTCGCAAAAGGTTTTGTTTTATTTTATTTTTTAGGAAAATTTTATTTTGTAAAAGAAAATATTTTTTTTCTAGGCACAAGAATTAAAAGATGTTTTAAATAATGATGAACAATTATGGAAATGGGTTGCACAATATTTAGTTATTAAACGTGTTTCATTAGAACCAAATTTTCATTCTTTATATGCTGGATTTCTTAATACAGTTAATATTACTATTCTTTTTGATACAGTTCTAACTGAAACACATCGAAATATAAAAGTAAAAATAATCAATGAATAAAAAAAAATATCATAGTTGTGTTTTTTTTCCTAGATTCTTTTATTAAGTGATAAACAGATAAATAACATTCCCGATCGTACATTATTGAAAAATCTCGGTCATTGGCTTGGTTTGATTACTATTGGAAGAAATAAACCAATTATTGCAACGGTTTGTAGAAATTAGAAGATATTTCTAATCTTAGAGAGATATATATCAGGATAGTGTAGTAGCCTGATTTATTTTCGATTTGTAACTTTTAATCTTCATTAGCAGTTATAAAAAACGATGCACTCAAGATATCATTTTGAAATATTTACTTGTCTTATATTTGACATTGATTAAAAATCATATAAATTTATTTTTAGGATTTGGAAGTGAAGTCATTAGTTATTGAAGCTTATCACACAGGTCCACAAGACTTATTATATATTATACCATTTGTATCAAAAATTATAGAATCATGTGCAAAAAGCAAAGTAAAAACAAATGAAATTTATCCTAATGATTATTATGTTTTTTTTTATAAATAAAATAGATATTTCAACAACCAAATCCATGGTTAATGGGTATTATGTCTGTTCTTGCAGAAATGCATGGAACACCTGACTTTAAATTAAATTTGAAATTTGAAATTGAAGTTCTTTGTAAACAATTAGAAATTCAATTAAATGTAAGTATTAGATGTATTTATTATCAAATATCCTCCTTTGCCTATAGCTATTCTATCAAGAGAAAATATTTCTAATTGTTATTATGTTTAATTCATAAGATTTACACCTAGAGATTTTGAAGTCATAGAATAAATAAAAACTTTTCTAAATTATATTTTTATTTTTAGGAACTTCCAGTTCATCATATATTAATTAACAAAGATTATTTTGATAAAATTGAAAAACAATTATCAGGTTCAACTCCACCAGTTGCACTATTACCTTCAGTAAATCCATCACCACAACCATCATCATCATCATCATCGACAACAACAACATCAGCAACAGCAACAACAACAGCAACTGCTCCTGAACCACAATATCGATTATCCGATTTTAAACCATCAACTTTTCAATCATTAAATTCAATGCTTAAAATTAATTCTAATATAACAATATTTCGTCTTCATCCAAATCTTAAAACTCATATCTATTCACCAATTGAAATGGCTATTAATGAAAGTTTTCAAACTGTTCAACGTTCACTTAAAGTAGCAACAACAGCAGCTGAACAAATTGTACGAAAAGATTTTGTATCAAATCCCGATGAACAACAATTACGTACATCAGCACGTAATATGGTTGCTTATTTAAGTAGTGGTCTTGTACTTATAACTGCACGTGCACCATTACAAGAACAAATTCAATCATATATTAAATCTCATTTTTATACTGTACTTGGTATATCTCAAACATCAACAATGAGTGCAAACGAACAAACAACAACTGAGATGATTCAACAAGCAGCAAATGAAATTGCAACATCAAATATTGAATTATGTTGCTGTCTTTTACAACGTATGACAATTAGCCGAGCTATACAAATTATTGATCAACGTTTAGCAAGTGAAATTGAATTACGACAACGTTGTCGAACTGAAGGAAGACAATTATCAGTTGCAAATAATACAAATGAAGAACGATTACCTGAACAAATTCGTTTACATTATGGACCATTTTCATCACATCAATTGGCAATTTATGAAGATTTTGTTCATTTTATTCCAGGTTTCAAACCAAATGATAGTGAAAAACGAGATTTAGTTACGGTAAATTTTACTAATTTTAATATTGTACAAGACAAAATCTCTCTAATTCTGTCGAACTACATATATATATAAGTCGAGTATAACAATTCTTATGAATTTTGCCAGTACATAAAATTTTAAACAACCTCATAAGAATTTTCTGAAAAATTGTAATAAAATTTATTGGATGAGTAAGAAATAAAAATGTTGCATGCACTATTTAATGAATCTATATGTATATGTATGAATTGATCTCTACAAAAATCTTTATTTAGATGGATGAAAGTGCTCCATCAGTATGGGATCGTATAATATCTGAAATTGATCAAACTATTCAAAGTCAACATAATGGAATATTTACACCAGCATTTCAACGTTTATTAGAAAGTGTTAACTTACTTCGATCTAATTTACATCCTCAAACATCATCCAATGCTCCACAAGTTGCATTAACAAATCTTTTAAATATAATTCTTTTTAATTTACTTGAACATTATACAATGCAATCACAAATTCAAGATAATGAAAATTTTGAACGTTTTAAAACAATTCATATGAATGTTTTAAAATTACTTATTGATATACGTTTACCTTTAGCAATTATTAATAAACAATTAACTAAATCATGGATAGAATGTTCAAATGATATTAAATATAATATATTTGCTGTTCATCATTTAATACGTAGTCGTCTTCTTGAAGTACGACAAATTGATGTACATATATCTCAATTAATTGATTCAGGAAATAATTCTGCACTTCATTTTGCTGTAAATTTTCTTCGAAATTGTGTTATTGAACAACCATGTTGTTCCGATAATGATATTTCATTAATGCTTGAATCACTTCATCGTATTTCATTAATTGGTAAACAACCAGCAGAAGCTGTTCGTGATTTACTTGAAATCATACGTTTAAATTATACATCATTAACTGATTCTAATGATAATAAAATTGATAAAATTGCTATTTTATCATTATCAGTTATTAATAATGGAATGAAATATTTATCTATTGATGATATTGAAACAGCAACAATTGTTAATAAAGCAAAAATTATTTTAAATGAATGGGTAGCTTTAACAATGGCACAAACAAATAGAATTAATCAACAACAAGCTTTTCAAGAATTTTTTAATCAGGTATATAAATGATATATATATATTAGATAGAGTAGAGTAATGTAAGAGATCTGATCAAAAGGATATTTTTATAACAAAAAAGATGAGGAGTTTATAATTAGCATATAAAACTATTTCAGTTTGATTTATCATCTCATAAAAAATCGATATTTATTAATTTATATACATGACTAAAAAACTTTCGAAAATCTAAAATCTTTATTTGTTCTATGATAATTCTAATCTTATGCTTTCATTTAGATGACTATGCAAGGAATCTTTCGTTCCGATGATACCATAGCAAAATTTCTTCGTACAACTATTCAATTATGTGTTAATAATGTATATGATGTTGTTCGACAAGGTTCAGCATTAACTCAACAACAACATCCACAATATGTTCGTTGTCATCAAGGAATTGATTCATTATGTCGATTTTTATATTTATTAACAACACAGTCATCTGATAATATGAATTATGGTCCACGTATACATTTAATTAATTGTATATTAGGTTTATTATCTGCACTTTGCTTTTTGGATCATGAAGAACAAGGAGATCAATTTCATCCACTTGCTTATCAAAGAATTATTTTAAATCTATTTCAAGAATCAACAAATGCTGTTACATTAAATACATCTAGGTAAAAACAACAACATATGAATTCATTCATTCATAATTTCTTTCTTTTTTTTTATTATTTTCTTTAATAGTTCAACAACTAATGCTGATAATACTTCACCTAATGATCCCGTTATGTATTATATTTATTTGGCATTTACAAATTGTTTACATCTTTTACGTCCTCAACGAGTAACTGGTTTTGCTTTTGCATGGCTTGAAATAGTTGCTCATCGAACATTTATGTCACGTTTTTTATTATCCGGTGGTCGATTTTTTCGTCAAACTCAAAATATGTATTCTTTACTTCTTGTTGATGCATTACGTCTTGTTGCTCCATTTATACGTTCCGGTGAAAATACTCCATCATTTCAAGCTTATTATAAAGGTATTTTAAAAACATTCATGTTATTATTACATGATTTTCCGGAATTTTTATGTGAACATTATTATGAATTTTGTGATTCATTACCATTAATATCTCATCAATTACGTAATATAATTTTATCATCATTTCCAAAACATATTCGTTGTCCAGATCCATTTAAAGTTAATATTAAAATTGATATGCTTAATGATATATCAACAACACCAACAATATCATATAATTATTCATTAAATATTCAACCATCAAAATTTAAATTAAATCTTGATTCATATTTACGTACACGTTCACCAGTAACATTCTTATCTGAATTACGTTCATATTTACAACAAGGTTCAGATCCTGGTTCACATTATAATATCAGAATGTTAAATGCACTTGTTTTATATGTTGCTACACAAGCATTATCAACAATAAATAATAAACAACCATTAATGTCATCAATAACACATACAGCACATATGGATATATTTCAAAATCTAGCAGTAGATTTAGATACTGAAGGACGTTATTTATTTTTAAATGCTATGGCTAATCATTTAAGATATCCAAATACACATACACATTATTTTAGTTATACAATTTTATATTTATTTGCCGAAGCTAATTCAGAAGCTTTACAAGAGCAAATTGTTCGGTAAGAAATAATTGATTTAACTGAAATGAAAATTTATTTTTCTATTGTTTTATTTGTAGAGTATTACTTGAACGATTAGTAGCTAATCGACCACATCCATGGGGATTATTGGTCACATTTTTGGAACTTGTACGAAATCCAAATTTAAAATTATGGTCCAGAGAATTTATGAGTATTTCACCAGATGTTAAACGGTTAGTTGACTTTTTATTAATTGACTAGTCATTTATAAACAAATCTAATCTGTTATTTTAGTTTATTAGCAACACTTACTCATGGTTTTCCGCAATTTCCAACATCACCCATGTCTGCCCAACAACCAGCTATTGTTAAACCTTAGTCATATCTATTCTTCTTCCTAATTTATAAGACTTGTATAAAATTAAACTTTATTTGATTGTTAGTCATTATATGTGAATTTCAATGATATCAGAGGCAAAACGAAACAATATTCTGGTTTGAATGAATTTCTTCTCATATTTCCCCGTTTATTTGTTTTTTTCTTCTCTTCTTTTTCTTACATATGTTCATTATTGTTATCCTTAGACAAATTTTTTTTTTGACTATTATTTATATTAAACAAAAACAAAACTACGATCTCTTTCTTGAGCATGAAATATTGTTGTTCATTGTTCTTTTCTTCTATGCTGTTGGATATATCAAACGTTATGAATGGGATAAAGAAGACAGAACCCTTTTTTTTTCTTGATAAATGTTCGGTGTATTCAACACGAAAACGTTTGCCATTGTTTATATTTCTCTTCTCAAGTTCTTTTGTTCTCTTTTTTTTTGTTGTTGTAAGTGTGTGTGCGTGTGTGTGTGATCTTCTTTGAGAAAAAAAAACCAAAACTGAAACACAAGATTATGTGATGCATATTGGGTTAATAAAATTTTTTTTAACTAATGAAATGTTTAGTATACTAAAAACTTCACACTGAAATTACGTGAAAATATTTAATATAACTTTCGAGAACTATTATCTATTGGAAAGCATTCATTGTTAGGACAAATACTATTTTTATGAATGATTTATGTTTCTATATAAAAATATCTAGAATACTTTTTGAGAATATGTAAGAATAGAGCGAGACTCACAAATATTTTGTGTAGTCATATTAAACAACTCAACCTGAATAACAAAAATAGATTATTGTAGATCTAGGTCAAAGAAATGTAGTTCATGAATAATGACTGAAGATCGTTAAGAAAACGAAGTTATTTGTATGATTAAAATAGATGAAAGTACTCCCACAATAGTCTATATGAATTATTCGATTTTATTTTTTTGAATTTATTCAACATATGAATATATATAATGTTTTAAACAGTACGTTGCATTCTTTATTACGCGTAAATATTACTAGTAATTTTACTAAGTAGACATAGACATATGTATCATATATTTAAAGAATGAATTTGAATTTTGCTTTCACGTGTAATAATCAAGATAATCATTCACTATATAAATCGCCTTCTCTTTATTGTTTTCAACTGGTGGGGAAGGTTATTTTACATATAAGAGTGAATACTATACGTCAATATCATTTGATATACATAAAACTTAACGCATTTACTACAGTTATTAGATACAACTAAAACGATGAAAAATATAGTTCTATTTCATCTAACCAAGTATATTGTTATGTTGTCTGACAACAAAACGGAGTATTTGTCTAACTATTTATCACTCTTGTTTGGTGTGCTTGTGATATTGACTTGTTGTATGGAACATTGATTTATGATGGAACATTACAGTAGTGTCAGACTTGAAAGTTAAGTTCAACTATTGAAGTATTCGCTATTCGAAATACTTTTAGAACATCTCCACTTTGTTGCTCCTCTAAAGGTATTCCTTTATTCTGACTTTGTTGTCCTTCATAAGGATATCTACTCAACAGGTATTTAATACTTTGTCATACAAACTATCATTCTGAATTCTCAAACCAATATTGTTTGTTGTTTTCTTTGTTTTGCGTTTTTATATTGCAGATATCTAGTCTCAATATATTTTATTATACTCTGCAGTACGTCCTATAGATTCTAAAAATTCAAAAACCGATATATAGTCATTATTGTACAGAATCGATAAAAACGTGATTTTCAACTCGAATAAATTTTTTCCTTTTCTGAAATGGAAGGAAAAAGGGACAAGACCATCGGAGTTTTAGAGTTTCAATCATTTTATTATTGTCGATATGGTAGGTAGAAAAGTTTTTATCGATTTTATTATTCATAAATCTTTTGTACCTTTTCCTAGTTGTCTTTGAAAAACATTTTAGTATATGATTTTGATGAGATTATTCTTTTGGTTATTAATTTATCGTTAATATTTATTTTTTGTGGTGTCATCATTATAGTGAAACCTATTTTACACTGTCTTCATATGATGAAAAATAATAGATTACCTATACGAGCCAATCCATCCGCAAGATATATTCAAAATAAACGGCTTGCACAGAATAATTCATCGCATCATCAATTAATATTAACTGACAATGAATTTTTTATAAACATTTTCATAAAAAATCTCGTTAATTCAATCGTAACTAATATTCAGACTAAATTATTAATTACAATGATTTCTTTTATAAATACAAAACATACGGATTTCAAGGTCAAAAGCAACAGAAACGATGTAAAAACGATGGCCGTTTTCCAGCAAAAAAACGGCTACCTTTCCGGTATGCCGGATTATAGCAAAATATGGTGAGAATTAATACAGTAATACACCGTGTTAGAGTGCAGATCTAGATGATATCATATCATATACGATATCATCTTAGGTCTCTCTTCATCTCTTCGTTCTCCTTTGTTTGTTAACACATATATAAACGTAGTTATAAAATGAAGTTCAGAAGTTAGATAGCGAACGTATAGTTTGCACACCACACTCTCTCAATATATATAATATCATCTTAACACACCGTCTTATAATCGTTTCAGGCCGTTTAAGAGGCCGTTTCCAATGGTCTGAATGATGGTCCTAGGTTTCTTTATTCGTTTTATTAGATCTGATCTACAATTGAATGATATGGTAGTCGCCAATTTTATGAGAAACTCGAAACAACTGATTATTCTTCTATTAGCTTTTGTTGCTTTCGTAAGTTTTTCATTGATCATTAACTATATATATATTAATCTTTGAATATGTGAATCAAACATGTTTTTGTGTACTTTCTTTGAAATAAAATTTTCTTTGATTTTGATATAAAAAGATGTTATTCTCTGCAAACAAAAAATAATTAAAAAGAGTTTTTTAAAATAATTGACGAAGTGCTTTTAAAGGATGTGGGTGTGGGTTTTGATGGAAGAAGAACAGAAAATCTACCCACATCCACCCTCTTGGTTCTTAGTGTCGACATAATAGAAGTAGACCTCGATCTTCTATCTCATATAAGAAAATGAGTGAATGAAATTATAACCTTAGGTTCAATTTCAACCTTCTATTTTATATAAGAAAATGGGAGAGTGACGAAAAAGAGAAAGATAGTAGGAGAGAAAACATGGATATGAAAGAAGGGGAAGAAGAGTAAGAGGGAGAGCATTTTAGATACAAGACTGGTAAGTGCATTATTTTCTTTTTGCAACAATCATACAGTAGTCATGTGTATTCATTTTATTATATGTTCTTATTTGTGTGGATACTAACTTATCATTTATTGTATGTGTTCATTATTTAATCTAGATAAATATTATTAAATTCGTAACGTTATATTTTATGTTAATTAATCAATAGCATTTTGTCAATTATACACGACAAAAGTATTTATAAAAAAAGGAATATTTAGTTACATCCTTGACATATGTCATAACAAAATTTTATATTTAACAGTCATTAGAAATTATTTTTAATGTGCATACTGATAAATATGTATCTCCCTAATATCTGCCATAAGACATAATTCTTCAATTTCCTGCAATACATGGTGAACTTGCTCTAGTTAATGTCTATGGAGATTGTACTCATTTGCATCAATTTCGATAATTTACGTTTTAGAATTAACTATTCTATACAAAAGAGTGAATATAAATTTACTTTCACAGTATAATTACCTGTTATTGATGACGAGATATCATAATTCGTACTTTGTTCCATTAAC